TGAAAGTTCTTATTAACATGACCTATTTATCACCTGTATTTTAGATGAATTCCATTAAGAAACTTTCCTTGCTATACCAGACAAAGAATTCTTTTGAAAGTTTAAACTCAATTACATTAAATTTAGAAACTAATTGGGGATGTACAGTATTTAGGTTCCAAAATAGGAAATGGCATGTTTCTTATTTTAAACCACGTGTTCTCCTATATTTCTTTTCGAAGTTTTGCTGTCCCTTTCATATATGTTGCTCTCATCTTTTGTTTAGTCTTTCAAGCATTTTATTTTAGATTCTGTGGCCATAAATTATAAGATTTCTTTCCTTTTGTGTAGGATGTCCATAAAGTTCTAGTGCAGTTTAAAGTTTTAACAAATTCACTGCTACTTGATATAAACAATTTGTAAAGATACAACAGAGGAAAAGCATAAAGATTTAAACAAAACTGTTACTGATTCATTTGTTCTAATTACTTTGTTCTATGTTCAATTAATAAATGCTACATTACATTGGACAGGTGTTTTCAAATAGTGGTAAATAGGTTAAAAGTATCTTTGCATTTTTATTATGCTGTCTTGAGTTAAATATAGTCTGTTGCATTTTATAGAATATTTATATAATACACAGAAACATTTAAAAAATCCAAACTGTATAAAGATTTTATGGATACCTTGTATTTTGCTCTCTTTCCCCATGGGTGCTGTCCAATGCCAGACCCCAGTACATTATCTAAATGGTTACTTGTGCTGTGCAGGAAGATGCTCCTATCTCCACAATACAGGTATCAATCTATACTGAATGAGAAGAGGTTTGTCACTCACTCCCTCTTACCTGAAGCACTTTCTTCACTTATGTGAGGATGCTGGAACCATTCGCTCTTACCCCCCTGACATCCCAACCCCCTTTCTCTTTTCCTCATGCCTGCTCCATCTCAGTATCTTTTGGTTACTCCACATCTCTTCTCCATCATGCTCATGAACTTGTCGAGTCTCATGACCCTTATATGCTGATAAATCCCGAAACTTATATATCTCAAGTCTAGACCTCTCTCCCTTAGACTCATATATCCAACTGCCTAAGTCATATCTCAACTTGGGTGCCCCCAGGGGGTATTTCAAATTCAATGTGTTCAAAACGGAACTGTGAATCTGCTCCCATGGTTTCAAACTTCCTTTCTGGCTGTCTTTTCTGTCTCCATAAATGGCAAGTCCATTCTTCCAGTCTCACAGGCCAAAAACTAGGGAAATCATCTCTGACTCCAAGAAATATGAGAGGAAAAGATATGTGCCATTTCCAGGCAGGAGCCCGTAAGAATAGAGACTTTAAGGTAATTTTTAGCTTCTCCATCTTGCCCCTTTCCTGTGAGCCTGAGCATAGACATTTTACAACTTGGCTTTAACCTCGCAGATGAAAACAGCACCCAACCAGGTGGTGGAGAAACAAGACAGGAGAAATGTGGGCTCTGAAAGGTCACGTGGAATGGAGTCACCTGCCAACCTGGAATTCACGCTTTTATGTGAGACAGAGAAGCATCTATCTCGTTTGAGCCATTGCATTTTTGGTCCCC